GATAAATGCTAGGAGCATAATATATGCTCCCAATTTTTTGTTGGAGCCTCATTTTTGAGCTCACACCTGCCTGCATGCAGTCGCAGTGTGAGATATTTATTATCAGTCACAAGTTCATGACTGCTGATTTTATTGTTATTAATCGGTTCATCCTGAGGAGCTTATGGCCTGCTCTGTTCATCGTTACACTGTTACAATTCGTAATCTCCATTGTTCCTATTCCCAGCAGCAGGTCTGCTATCTCAGCCTTTTTCCTCACCAGAGATCTTTCATCCGGTGCACTCCTGCGCATGGAGCGTGTAATTACACACACAGAAGGCTGAGTGATGAAATGGGTTTTTTTTGCAAGCAGGTGCTTCACATTTGTGTCTGAATGGACCCAGTGCGGCTTAGACTACATCCTTCTTCGCCTTTAACCCATTAGCGATAGCCTTAAAGGGCGAAGCCTATATGAAATAGAACATTTGGTTACGTACTATAACCCCAGATTCTATGAGTATAGGCGCAGACCTTTAAGCTCTGGGCCTCACTGGTTCCTAAATGGCTGAAGAAAAAAAAATCTATTTGGGAGCCGATTACCCGGTCTCACCATAATTTATACAGGTCGGGGGTGGGGCCCACATAGCTGGTGAGCACGGACTAAAGTTTTCAGTGCTGCGCTGCGCGTGACGGGATAAACCCACTAGCGATAGCCTTAAAGGGCTGCGCCTATACTCATAGAATCTGGGGTTACAGTACGTAACCAACAATTCCCTAGGAAGAGCTGGAGAATGTAGCTTTATTTTCTTTTAAACTGTCGTTTTTTGCTTCAAGCTTTACTTCAGCAAAGAAAACTAAATGCTCCTTATTTTGCTTCAAGAGTTGCTGGTTTTGAACAACTTTTCTATCCAACTTGGCTGCTGATTTGCATGTTCTTTTTGAGTTTTGCTGACAAGTAATGCATGCCAAGTACACCTCAAATTTATTTACTTATTTTCAAAAGGTAAAATGTAGTAGTAATCCCAATCCTGATGCATGCTCAATAATCCAGGTAGAAAAATCTAAAAAAGTTAAATCTGGTCCTCTGGACATTCAAAGAAACCCAAAACAAAGCAAAACAACAAAAAATGTAGAAACGTTTCGTCTCTCGTCCGAGAGACTTCCTCAGTCTGAGGTGCTGTATTCAGCTCAGTCTCTTAAATAGCACCTTCTCAGAGTGGATCAACCAGTTTTGCTGCTGACAACAAAAACCAGCTGATCACATGCTCAAGAAGGACCATCAGCCTAACAATGGATCATTAGCACACTGATGGCTGTTTACTATTCACAGAGGGCTGAGTGATACTAGCAATCACAGCATTGTAAGAGGGGGACAATTGAACATGTAGGCCTCCACCCCTGTTTAACGATGGACAGTTTCTTTTCACAAAGATGGCCTCCTTTACTCTTCTCTCAAACCATCGTTCCTCTCTGTCCAGAATGTGCACATCTTCATCCTTGAAAGAGAGACCGCTGGCCTGAAGATGAGTGTAGACCGCAGAGTCCTGGCCTGATGATGTTGATCTTCTGTGCTGGGCCATCCTTTTGGCCAGTGGCTGTTTAGTTTCCCCGATGTAAGACTGATCACAGCCCTCCTGACACTGAACAGCATACACAACATTACTCTGTTTGTGCCGGGGGACTGGATCTTTGGGATGAACCAGTCTTTGCCGTAATGTATTTTGGGGTTTAAAAGCCACTGGGACGTTATGTTTAGAAAATAAACGTATCAGTTTCTCTGATACTCCCTCAACATATGGAATGACCACTGGTCTGGGTCTGGGTTCCTCCTTTTCACCTGTTGGCTGACTGGAGTCCTGTTTGGGTTTCTTCTCTGCTTTTAGGAAGGCCCAGTTAGGATATCCACATTGCTCTAGAGCCTGTCTTGTGTGGGATTTCTCCTTCTGCCTGGCTCCTGAGCTAGTGGGGACGCTGTCTGCTCTGTGATACAGAGTCCTGATGACTCCTAACTTGTGCTCCAAAGGGTGATGGGAGTCAAACTGCAAATACTGGTCTGTGTGGGTGGGTTTGCGGTACACCTCAGTTTGCAAATGTCCTCTATCAGAGACTGAGACCTCACAGTCCAAGAAAGCCAACTTGCCATTTTTTTCATCTTCTCGTGTGAACTTGATGTATTTATCCACAGAGTTGATGTGGTCAGTAAAATGTTGGACTTCCTGAGATTTAATTTTAACCCAGGTGTCGTCAACATACCTGAACCAATGACTTGGTGGTGTCCCTGAAAAGGACGTCAAGGCTCTCTTTTCTACCTCCTCCATGTACAGGTTGGCAACAATAGGAGAAACTGGAGACCCCATAGCACACCCATGTTTCTGCCTATAATATTGCTCCCCATATGTGAAGTAGGTTGACTGCAGGCACAGTTTCAAGAGTTGACACAGTTGTTCTGTGGAAAGTGTGGTCCTGCTGCTCAGAGTGGTGTCTGATTTTAATTTTAAACTGACCACCTCTACTGCATCATCAACAGGAATGCACGTAAAGAGTGATGTGACATCAAAAGAGACCATTGTTTCATCAGTCTTCATGATGACATCCCTCACCTTATCCACAAAGTCCATGGTGTTCTGTATGTGGTGTTCTGAGCTGCCAACTAAAGGGATGAGTACAGACGCCAGATATTTGGAAACATTGTAAGTGACAGAGTTAATCTTGCTAACGATTGGTCTTAAAGGTACACCTTGTTTGTGGATTTTAGGTAAACCATACAGACTAGGTGTGGCCTCCCCTGGGTACAGTCTGTGGTACAGAAAACGGTCAATAGCCTTGTCCTGCTCCAAAATTTTCAGGCAATCTATCAATTTCTTCTTGTAACCACTTCCTGGATCTCTTTTCAGAGGTTCATAAGTGTTTAAGACACTAAGGAGTGTCATAACTTTCTCATGATAGTCTTTCTGGTTCAAAATCACTGTGCACCTTCCTTTGTCTGCTGGGAGAATGATGATGTTTTTGTCCTTGCTAAGAGTGGTGAGTGCGTCCCTCTCCTCTCTACTGATGTTGGAAGGTGGTGGTTTGGCATTGCTGAGGCAGGCTGAAACTTTGATTCTGAGCTGTTCTGCTTCAGCCTCTTTAATTTTGTTGTTGCGGATGGCTGACTCAGTAGCTGTGATCATCTCCACCAGAGGAATTCTACTTGGTGCAACCGCAAAGTTCAGTCCCCTGGCAAGAATCTCTGTCTCCGGCTGGGTGAGCTGTCTGTCAGATAAATTCTTCACCCACTTTTCTGTCTCCCTGACCTGTAATTGACTACTGGAGTGTTGTCCTACACTGAATGTGTTGTTATTGGAATAGTGATGTTGTTGATGAGTTATTAGTAAGTTAAACTTGTTTTGTTGTCGAGTCTTGGACTTGACATGCTGTGCTAAGCGTGCCTGATCTGTACAGTCCAACACTTGCTGAAGTGTGGTCTGATCTAGACACATAGTTAGTTTCTGTTTAATGTGCTCTTCTTTGGCCTTCAAGGCCTCAATAGTAAAATTGGTCTGTCTCACCCATTCATTCAGCAGCTGTGTCTGTGCCTTCTGAAGGATCTTGCTTGCCCGGTGCCCGCTGACCGAAGATTTTAGTTCCAGGCTCTTGGGAATGATGCCACTTTGTCGAGGTTGAATCGCAAATGGTTCCTGTAGTCTGCCCTCTTCCTTGCTGTTTTCTCAAACTCTCTAACTAGTTTGAGGCAATCCTGGCCAAAGTGGTTCAAAATATTCTGATGCATGCTCAATAATCCAGGAAGAAAAATCTAAAAAAGTTAAAGGAAGTCCAACATTTTACTGACCACATCAACTCTGTGGATAAATACATCAAGTTCACACGAGAAGATGAAAAAAATGGCAAGTTGGCTTTCTTGGACTGTGAGGTCTCAGTCTCTGATAGAGGACATTTGCAAACTGAGGTGTACCGCAAACCCACCCACACAGACCAGTATTTGCAGTTTGACTCCCATCACCCTTTGGAGCACAAGTTAGGAGTCATCAGGACTCTGTATCACAGAGCAGACAGCGTCCCCACTAGCTCAGGAGCCAGGCAGAAGGAGAAATCCCACACAAGACAGGCTCTAGAGCAATGTGGATATCCTAACTGGGCCTTCCTAAAAGCAGAGAAGAAACCCAAACAGGACTCCAGTCAGCCAACAGGTGAAAAGGAGGAACCCAGACCCAGACCAGTGGTCATTCCATATGTTGAGGGAGTATCAGAGAAACTGATACGTTTATTTTCTAAACATAACGTCCCAGTGGCTTTTAAACCCCAAAATACATTACGGCAAAGACTGGTTCATCCCAAAGATCCAGTCCCCCGGCACAAACAGAGTAATGTTGTGTATGCTGTTCAGTGTCAGGAGGGCTGTGATCAGTCTTACATCGGGGAAACTAAACAGCCACTGGCCAAAAGGATGGCCCAGCACAGAAGATCAACATCATCAGGCCAGGATTCTGCGGTCTACACTCATCTCCAGGCCAGCGGTCACTCTTTCAGGGATGAAGATGTTCACATCCTGGACAGAGAGGAACGATGGTTTGAGAGAGGAGTAAAGGAGGCCATCTTTGTGAAAAGAAACCGTCCATCGTTAAACAGGGGTGGAGGCCTACGTGTTCAATTGTCCCCCTCTTACAATGCTGTGATTGCTAGTATCACTCAGCCCTCTGTGAATAGTAAACAGCCATCAGTGTGCTAATGATCCATTGTTAGGCTGATGGTCCTTCTTGAGCATGTGATCAGCTGGTTTTGGTTGTCAGCAGCAAAACTGGTTGATCCACTCTGAGAAGGTGCTATTTAAGAGACTGAGCTGAATACAGCACCTCAGACTGAAGAAGTCTCTCGGACGAGAGACGAAACGTTTCTACATTTTTTGTTGTTTTGCTTTGTTTTGGGTTTTTTTGAATGTCCAGAGGACCAGATTTAACTTTTTTAGATAGTAATCCCAATGTTATTTAGCACATTTGTTACTCTGTTATGAAAGTTCAATGTACCATCTCATAGGCCAGCTCATACGCGTCAGGGTTCAGCGAGGGAACCAAGTGAATCCTCACTCCATCCACCAGGCGGCGTACTCTTGGGTTTTCATCTTTATATTCTTTGCACAAGAACTGCATCAGCATCAGAAGAAGTTCTCGACCCAGAGCTTCATTACCATGAAGACCAGCTGTATAGCGAAATTCAGGCTCGCCTGAAGACAATTCACAGACATTAGATTACATTTGGATAAAAACATGAAACTGGTCAACTTTGCGGGCCAAATTTTCTCCAGTGTGTATTTCATTTTTGGATTGTGACTCAGTTGTAAAGTGACATGCTTGCAATTTCTATAACACTGTCACAGTCAGGAAGTTTAAAATTAAAGCTTCCTACCCGTCTCATGTTCGCCTGGGTTATCAGAGATCTCCATGGCATATATTTTCAGGCCTTTTGAGCTTTTCCCGATGTTGTAGATCTTGGTGATGTTGGGACACTCCTTATTGATCACATTCATCATCTGAAATCAGCAAAAAAAAAAAATTGTTGGTAAAATGTTCTGTTCAAACAATTCAATGTTGTTTTTTTTTATACTTATAAACCAACCTGTCTCATGTCCTTATGGTTGTGATGCTTAAAATCCAGATTATCTGAAGGACTGACCTCATTTTCACTGTGGTAGCTGCCTGTATAAAGCAAACCTTTGTATGTTTCAGTAGAAAAATAAAGTATGACTGCACATACAGTACTTGAGTAATTTGAGTATTTGATTTCCATATCTTTCTGGTTTTATATATTGAGTTAAAATGTTAAAATTAATTGCTTTCAGTTTTAAATGTACTGCTATTGAATAATAGCAAAAAGAACAGTCAATAATGCAACATTGCCTTTGAGGCTGACACATTTTACCTTTGAGGTTGTGGGATTCATGTTGTTAAATAGATGTTATGTATCTCCTCTGGTGGGTGAAACCATTTAGAGTCAAAGTTGGCAAACAGCATTGTTTTTCTTCTATGGAGGGTGACATATTGCTTTTTGGAATGAAAAAGCTCTGACTTGAAGTAAAAAATAAAACTCATTACAAAAGCTACTAAAAACTTCTTGGCTTTTTAGTAATTACTAAATGGTTAAGCAAAGTTGGATTGCCAGCAGAAGACAGTAGGTAACTGTCTTGTGGCCCTGGGATCTGGGGGTAAGGAGGTTGGGAGTGGGGATAGAGGATTTTTGCTGCCAAAATCCAGTGCCTTGAAAATGTATTAACACCCTTTGAACTGTTAGAGTTATCCTACTTCATCATGCTGTGACACCCAGTCTTGTCTGCACAAAGTCAGACTATTTTCTGTCACGGTTCTGTATATATGAGACGGGCCCAGCTGCTCTGAGTGAGCTTCCCAGGGTCAACATCCAATAAGAAGTAATTTTTTTTATTTTGCTGGCTTCCATCACGTAGATAGATTTACACTTTACACCCATTTTTCATCATCAGAAACAAATAAGGCCAATGAGGTCACACAGTCACCCCACTGATACACTCTGATAGGCTGTGCTCCCGGAAGTGAAGGCGGAGCCAAGGGCCATTATAAGCTGGGGTGTTCTGTGAAACGGGGCTTCCACTTCCACTGCTGAGTTAAGACGAGTTGGACGGACACCTCAGCACTGAAACTGTGACTTTCTCCTGCCTGATTAACATTTAATTGGTAAACGGAAATTATACCTCTTGATTTATTTGAGTTAGAGCAAGGTTCCTCGCCATCTGGGAATAAAAGAACCAGACACCGGAGGTGGGGAGTTGGACCGGTTTCAGGGACGGACCCAGTTCAGATTCTCACAAAATGGTGCCGAAACCCGGGACCTTTAGACCCTTATCTACATTTGTGAAGTTACAATCAGAAAGAAAGTTGAGAAGCTCATAGTATCGCTGGAGGAGCTGCAGAGATCCACAGATCTGGTGAGACAATTTATCCACAAGACAACGATTTGTCCAAAAATCTGACATTTATAAAAGAATGGCAAGAAAAATTATTTTTTGAAAGAAAGAGTTGATAGGAAGATGGGTAATCCTGGCAAAAATAAATAAATTTGTTAAAATATTAGAGTCTGGGATGGAGGATTTTCCTTCCAGCAGTACAACCCTAAACATCCATCCAGAGCTACAATAGCATGGTTGAGTCCAAAGCATATTCATGTGTTACAATGACCCAGTCAAAGTGCAGACATACAGGTCCTTCTCAAAAAATTAGTATATTGTGATAAAGGTCATTATTTTTCATAATGTAATGATAAAAATTAAACTTTCATATATTTCAGATTCATTGCACACCAACTGAAATATTTCAGGTCTTTAATTGTTTTAATACTGATGATTATGGCGTACAGCTCATGAAAACCCAAAATGCCTGTCCCAAAAAATTAGCATATCATGAAAAGGTTCTCTAAACAAGCTATTAACATAACCATCTGAATCAACAACGTAACTCTAAACACCTGCAAAAGATTCCTGAGGCTTTTAAAAACTCCCAGCCTTGTTCATTACTCAAAACCGCAATCATGGGTAAGACTGCCGAACTGACTGCTGTCCAGAAGGCCATCATTGACACCCTCAAGCAAGAGGGTAAGACACAGAAAGAAATTGCTGAACGAATAGGCTGTTCCCAGAGTGCTGTATCAAGGCACCTCAGTGGGAAGTCTGTGGGAAGGGAAACGTGTGGCAGAAAACACTGCACAACGAGAAGAGGTGACAGGACCCTGAGGAGGATTGTGGAGAAGGGCTGATTCCAGACCTTGGGGGACCTGCGGAAGCAGTGGACTGAGTCTGGAGTAGAAACATCCAGAGCCACCGTGCACAGGCGTGTGCAGGAAATGGGCTACAGGTGCCGCATTCCCCAGGTCAAGCCACTCTTGAACCAGAGACTGCGTCAGAAGCATCTCGCCTGGGACTGCTGCTGAGTGGTCCAAAGTTATGTTCTCTGATTACAGTAAATTTTGCATTTCCTTTGGAAATCAAGGTCCCAGAGTCTGGAGGAAGAGAGAAGACACAGAATTCACATTGCTTGAGATCCAGTGTCAAGTTTCCACAGTCACTGGGGTGTCATGTCAGCTGCTGGTGTTGGTCCACTGTGTTTTATCAAGGGCAGGGTCAATGCAGCTAGCTATCAGGAGATTTTGGAGCACTTCATGTTTCCATCTGCTGAAAAGCTTTATGGAGATGAAGATTTCATTTTTCAGCACGACCTGGCACCTGCTCACAGTGCCAAAACCACTGGTAAATGGTTTACTGACCATGGTATTACTGTGCTCAATTGGCCTGCAAACTCTCCTGACCTGAACCCCATAGAGAACCTGTGGGATATTGTGAAGAGAAAGTTGAGAGATGCAAGACCCAACACTCTGGATGAGCTTAAGGCCGCTATCGAAGCATCCTGGGCCTCCATAACACCTCAGCAGTGCCACAGGCTGATTGCCTCCATGCCACGTCGCATTGAAGCAGTCATTCATGCAAAAGGATTCCCGACCAAGTATTGAGTGCATAACTGAACATGATTATTTGAAGGTTGGCGTTTTTTGTATTGAAAACACTTGTCTTTCATTGGTGGGATGAAATATGCTAATTTTTTGGGACAGGCATTTTGGGTTTTCATGAGCTGTATGCCATAATCATCAGTATTAAAACAAAGACCTGAAATATTTCAGTTGGTGTGCAATGAATCTGAAATATATGAAAGTTTCATTTTTATCATTACATTATGGAAAATAATGACCTTCATCACAATATGCTAATTTTTTTAGAAGGACCTGTAAATTAAATTAAGAATCTATAGCCAAACATTCAGGTATTATCAATCCAGTCTGACTGTGGTTGAACTAATTTACAAAGAATGAGCTAACATGTCAGTCTCTAGATGTGAAAAGCTGGAGACACATGTCCAAAAAGGCTTGCAGTTATAGCTACAGTGAAAGATGTTTCTACAAAATACCCCTTGAGTCATGTTAGGTATGTTTCCATGATCTGTTTAAATTTTGAACCTATGATGTATGAGCTGTAAAGCTGCCAAAAGGGTTGGGTCTTCCCTTTTTTGTTGCTAACTTTGTCTAAGCTGTGTGAGGTACTGCTACCAATAGTCCAAGTACATTATTAGATTTTGCTTTATAAGATTAGCATTAGACGGGGTTGTGACCACTGATATAAGATTTTCTCCTGAAAAAGAGTAAGACAAGCGATTGGTGTTGCTCTGATGATGTTTTTTTCTGATACTGACTGGGCAGCTGGCAGGCCAGGACCTCAGCTCTCAGACACAGACTGCCATTCCAGCTCTGAGGCATGATACGGATGTACCGAGCCACCACAGGACCATTGAACTGACTCATCACCGGTGTGTCCTTATCCACGTTCCCATAGAACAACTACAGGACAGAGTTACAGAGGCATCAGAGGCAAGCATTGTACAACTTTGATTTGTCTTGGTATGTTTTTTGTTCAACTTCTACTCACCCATTCAGCGTAGCCGTCGTGCAGCACTGTCCAGTCACGGCTGTCGTTACTGAAGGCCACGAAGTACGACAACACGAAATCCTCACTAAAATGTACATGTCAGACATTTACTCATTGAAACTCATCTAAGAGGCCTTTTAGCCAGTATTATCATCACAGTTATCTAGTGCTTGTTCCTTGTGCAAGAACTATGAGGCATTTGGGAAAGGCTACTGTGACATCACAATTCAAAAAGCTACTCAAAGGCTGCATGTAATAATAATAATAATGTTATCACATTATCATCACTGTATGTTTCCATACAATGGTGAAATTAGTCTCTGCATTTAACCCATCCACCACCAGGTGGTGCAGTGGGCAGCTATTGAGGATGCCCAGGGGGCATTTTGGGGATAGGGTGTGCTGCCCAGAGACACCGTGAGGTATGTAGTGACCGGGGATCAAACCTGGGACTTTCGGGTCCCAAGTTGGCTGCCCTGCCTCTACACCATCTCGGCCCCCTACTGCTAGCTATGAACTTTGCCTGTTGAGAGGCATGTAACTGATTCCTGTTCCACTTTTTGTCCTTTAGCTTATAATTCCAAGCTTCAAAAGCCTCATCTTCTCAGGATAACAGACCCTGACCTCATCTGAAAATCTAGCATGATACCTAGCCTACTCTTTATCATGTTTTCTTACAAGTTAAGGTATTAGGGAAATGTAAACAAGAGGATTGGGCATTGGCGAAAAAGTATTCAAAACGTCTAATAGCATTTACTGGGATTCTAAATGTTTTGAGGTTTGAAAGAGTAAAACAAAATTGTGCGATAAATTTTCTTTCAAAAAGGTCACAGAGTTGTTGCAGACAACTGAAATCCGTCTCAAACCCTTCTCTGTTGAGTTTTTCTAAATTTTAGAGGACTACAGCTTTTGACACCTGCAGGAAGGCTCTCCTATGACAAAAAAACATCTAAGGCTTTAGTGCCAAAGGTCCAGGTCTAAAAAGCACACTGTCAATATGTATATATCATCACATGTAAAAACTAGCCCTGATTTGCCGATTTGCCTCTTTTCTTGCAATAATAAGTTGCTACCAAGTCGCCTAACGGTTGCAGCCCACCAAAATGCTACCTGTCATATTTATTGTGACAACGTAATAAAAGTAATGTTGTCTTGAGAAGAAGCTTTTAAACAGTTTGACTCTATAGATTCTAAATAATGTGTGGACCGGGAATCAGCTACATGAACCTCAACAGACGGATGAGCTACTTGAAGCTACTGGGTACTTTCCACGCATAGCTCTTTGGTAGATTCACTGCTGTCACAGGGACTGTTCCTTACAGATCACAAAAACAATAAACAAACAGATGATAGATTACTTCTGTTCCTCTGTCTATGTGACTAAATCATTATTAACAATGAAAATCGATAGTCAATAATAGTAGTGATTTCAACTTTTTCTAAAACAGTTGTCAAAGTTAACTGAAAGCCTTACACCACTTACTTCATGGTATAAAAACTCTAGAGTCAGAAGTTTCATTAGGTTATTGTTACACAATTATTTATATACATGTAATCTACAATCACAATTTCAGCAGTTAGTTGTGTTACTTTATCCCAATGGAGCCAGTACACTTCTATCAGGAGTATGATATATACTACTTCTGCTGGAATAATTGTGTAATGTAAAAACTACAATGGTAAAAATGTAAGTTTCTTTTGGCTGCTCTCTGCTTCAGGGGTTGCCACAGGGAAAGATTTGGCAATTGCTTCATGCCAGGTGCCCTTACTTGAGCTTGAACCCGCAACCTCAGGATTACAAGACCACAGTGCTGATCACCAAGCTACTGCAGCCCCTAAAATCTACAATGGTATATAAAGGTATTTAAAACCACTGTGGCATTTCTGCTTGGAGATGGTTTAAGGCAACTTAATTCTGTTTACGTCTTGCCTCCCTACAATCTGGTTAAAGTCGAACTGTCTCTTTCTGAAAAAAGATTGTATGAAGTGAAGATTTAACGTGACTCACTGTTGCTCTGAATTCCTTCCCTGTGTGATGACACCACTGAATTCCACCTCTCGGCGTGCATCAACCTGAAACCAGTGGTCTTTTTCTTCGGACTCTGCACACCATGCACCGCCATACAGGTCATCTTCATTCTCAGAGGTCTGCACACATTTTACATTCCATATTTGTAAAGTAATGCTTTCCGTACCGTACCCATGAAATCTGGGGCTTAGTTAGATCCTTTAGTGTTTTTTTTTTCTCTCCATTCACATTGTTACATAGAGCATTTTATTTACCACCTCATTCCTGTCATTATGGGTGGATGAGCCCTATATTTACTGTAAAGGAAATTACCATGTTTTTATTCTGAATGTTTCTGTAAAGTGCCCTGAGACAACTTTTTTGTGATTTAGCGCTATATAAATAAACTGAATTGAATTCAAATTCCACGAGAAATCCCCATAAATAAGAAAACGATCTAACCAATGTCCAACATTGACCAACATTAGTATGCAGGATATCAGGCGGTTATAGGATTATTAATTTAGAAAAAAACACATTTCAATAAGTGCTTTTCTGAAACTAATACGGCCTGAAAAAGCAAATAAAAGAATAGTTTGGAATAATGCTGTAGTAAAATGTAAAGACCAGTAGTTCATAGATGATTGTGCTTTTTTGGTCTTTCTATTCCCAGTTGAACATACAGTGTATGATACCTTAATCATATTCACAAACGTACACAGCAACAACAAAAAAGTTTTAAAAATAATTAAATGTCTTTAGACTTCTAAACTTCTAGACTCCATTAGACTTCTACAGCTGCTCAGTGACCAAGAAAACCACCCTGATCAACGAGGACCCCTCACATCCACTACACAACGGCTTCCAGATGCTTCCATCAAACAGGCGTTACCGAGTCTCGCTGGCCAGGAATAATATTTATAAGAAATCATTTGTACCATCTGCAGTAATATTCTTAAACAAAGCAAAGTAGGCACATCTTAGTGGTAACTAATGGTAATAATGTGGTTTTTATTATGTTCTGTTGTTGGTTCTTGTGTGTGTATGATGAATGTAGAGCGTGTTGAAGAAGACTTTCTACCACAATTGTGGTAGACAATAAAGTTTCATCTTAGCACATCTTAAACTTGAGAAAGCTTGTTTCTAGTGAATGTTTTGTTCAATGTACCTGTTGAAATTAAAAGTATACATTTGACTTTTTTAGGGAAAAGTACAAAAAGACTAATGTAAGGACTACTCATGGCATTTACATGTGTATGTAAAGACAAAAAACATTCAAATTGGAATGTCGCAAAACTCAATCTATATTGCTCTCTACACATCATGTAATTAGTAACATCCATCCATCCATCCATCCATTATCTTGACCTCCTTTTTGGGTCAGGGGGGTCACTGGTGCCCATGTCCAGACATCACTGTGTGAGAGGCACCCTGGACAGGTCTCCAGACCATCACAGGGACACATGGAAACAAACAAACATTCATTTGTTTCTATCTCTCACCTAGGGGCAATTTAGAGTTACCAATCAGTCTAACATGCATGTTTTTGTCTGTGGGAGGAAACCGGAGTACCCGGAAAAAGCCCACGCAGCACGGAGAGAACATGCAAACTCCACCCAGAAATGCTTCCAGCTGGGATTTGAACGGGGCGGCCTGCTCGCTGAGAGGCGGCAGCTCTTCCAACTGCGCCACCATGCCGCCCTGTAATTAGTAACATTACCTGTACAATAAGAAACTGAGGTAATTTCTAAACTCTAATGTTGCCAAAGTTTTCAAGCATCGTTTTACAACAGTATAATAGACTTTCTGAAATTCTTTTGGTTTGTGTACCACCAAAGGATTTTCAGTGGCCCCCCACATGGGCTGCCCATTGAAAAAAATTGGAGCTGCCATTGGCAAGATCTTGCACAGAGCTCCAGACCAAGGTCAACTGAGTGCCCTTTTATTTTTATTCTATTTCCATCTCCCTGTTGCCCTTTCCAGTCCAGGACAGATTTGGTACTGTCTTGTTCCTGACATCTTTTGACAGCTCTTTGGTCTTGCCCATGGTGGTGGCGAGGTAGAAATAGAAGAACTTGATTCTGTGAACAGGTGTGCTTCATACACACCATGAGTTAAAGTCAAGAGAGTCTGAATTTTATTTTGATTTATCAATTAGGTACTTGACTGACTTAATGATGAATTGACCTAATCTTTTGGCACACTGCCATATAACCAGTCTATAGGAACCAAAATTCTGGCATGGTTGAAGCTTGGATAGAATATGCACAACTGTGCTGCCAACAAAGGGTTCTCTACAAAAAAACTAAGTGGTTTAAATATCCAGAACTTATTTTGTTCAGTGACATGGGAATCAATTTGTAACACTTAACAACATATTTCACAACACTTGTATCCCATGTTAGTGTATGTAGTAATTTAGGTAAGATGGCTGCCAAATTCAGTACTGTGAGATCATGTGTTTGATGCTTTGTAAGAAGTACCTGCATGTTCAGTCGACCCCTCTGAGCTGAGAAGCCATGGTGGGACTGAGAAGAAGCCAGAAGCTGGTCGTCTTCCACCCGGTGAGACTCCAAGCCCAGAGGAGGACAGTCTGTGACGAAGAAAAGCACATGCACAACAAGGAGATCTTTCCAAAATGTCCCAAAATTATGCTGAAACATGCGTAGTGTGATTAATGTTAGAAGATGCAGACACCAGAATTAAAGGGAAATAAATCTCATACTTTTTGGCTCAGCTGCCACTGAAGCCTTCTTCAGTCTCTCCTCCTCTTCTTCCTCCCATGTTTTCTTCAGCTGCTCAGCTTTTAGGTACCAAGAAAACAATGTGTGAAAACATGTTTGCACATGGACTTTGCTCACCAGCCACTAACACAAAATACTTGTGATATTCTCACTAGTTTGCGCCCGTGCTTTTCTCCTTTGTAAAAAACAGATAACTTGATCCTCACTGAAACTGGACATGTGGGTAGTTTTCCGTCTGTTTTATTAGAAACACTGAGGTTAAAGTGTTTTATATTACTTGTTTGCTAATAAGATTATATTCTATGACCTCACTTCCTGCCTCCTGATATTACATCTCCCCTCAGTTTGAGATTTATATAACCATTCACTTTTTTCCCTCAGCTGTAAGAGCCAATAATTTCCACCTTTTTCCGCCTTCTCTTTTCGAGCTCTCTCCTCCTCTTCCTCCTGTTTCTTCACTGCCACTGTGAAAGACACAGACGAGGTAAATCATCTGACTGCCACAGTGAAGACCTGAGGTTGATGTTAGTTCAGTTGTTGACAGGAAATGGACGTACAGTCAGTGTAGTCATAGTCTTCATACCAGGGATCTGCATACGGGGTAGTGGTTTCCTCTGAAACATAAAAATATGAGATTACTCCATGTTGCTTTATTCCACTATGATTCTTACATGAAGCGCAGAAACATAGTCATATGATGGAAAATAAAATATTTTGAGAGGATCTAAACTGAAGGCACAATTCTGTTGGCTAGTCTGGACTGGATTTTATTTATTTATTAACCTTTATTTAACCAGACAGATAGATCCCGATGAGATCACAGATCTCTTTTGCAAGGGAGGTCTGGACCTGAAGGCAGCCTAACATGCATGTTTTTAGATTGTGGTAGGAAACTGGAGTATCTGGGAGAAACCCACACAAACATGAGGAGAACATGCAAACTCTACACAGAAAGACCCCTGGTCCAATCTGGGGATTGAATCCAGGACCTTCTTGCTGTGAGGCAACAGTACAAACCATTGAGCCATCGTGCTGTCAACACAGACACTAATATTAAACCAAGTTAAAACAGAAGAATTTACGGTAAAAGCATCAGATAAATTCTTTGTACCTGCTGCAAACTAAAACAAGCAAACAAAATGGTCATACTCATAACCTCACTCTGTGTGAGTACCTGGTATGTACATGATGACTTCAGTAGTTGTGACCTCTGCCTTCTTTTTAGCATCTGTAAAGGTCAAACCACAATTATAAGCATGAAATAGAAATGTTCTGTTGAAATCTTTGTTTTCAAACGTTAGTAATAAAAACAGCATTCCTTGAAGAAATTCATTTTGCCTTCTGCCTCGGATGTCAGCAGAAGATCTTATGTGGTTTTTGAGGTTCAAGGTTCTTTATTGTCATTCGCATCACATGTGGTACATGAGGTGGGAAAAAATTGTGCAATCATGGTTCCAGTTACAGCCAAGAATAGGCAAAGATATAAAGTATAAAAAGAAACAGATCTAAGGTATACACTAACGAACACTAAACAATACACTAAAGATCTAAGATATATGCTAAACACTAATAATGTAAAATAATACGGTATATTAAACAGCAGCCCAAACATGAGTCTGTAGTGAGTAGCTATATTTATATAGTGCCGAATCACAACAAAGTTGTCTCAGGGCACTTTACAGGAACATTCACATACATAAAAGCCAATTAGTAAAGTTCTCTATCTAAGGAATCCAGCAGACAAGTTGAATCTTGGCTTAGTTGCAGTCTCCCATCCTGAGCAAGCACAGTGGCAACAGTGGAAAGGAAAAACTCCCTTTTAAAAGGAAGAAACCTCCAGCAGAACCAGGCTCAGGACAAGCGGCCATCTGCTTTGACCGGCTGGTTGAGAGGACAGGAAGGAGAGACAGACGAACATAGAATGGTAGGTCCAGATATAGGTCCAGGTGTATCTGAAAGACAAAAAAAAAACACATGTTAAGGATAGAGGGGTTAAGAGACACCACAACATGTGGGAATGGCTGGGAGTTTAACCTCGACTTTCTGGTCCCAAGTCGGCTGCCCTGCCTCTACACCATCTCAGCCCCCGATAGGTAAAGGTACCTGAGGAATATGTAGCATATTACTAAAATATGTCTTATTTCTAATGTTTTAAGTATTTCACTTTACTATTATCTGTGAGCGGTGGTGGCACAGAGGTTAGGAAGCTTGGGCCTGTGATCGGAAGGTTGCCAGCTCAACTCCCTGGACCGACAACATCAAAATGTGGGTGGGAAAGGTGAAACACCCACACCTGCCTCCACCCTCACTTGCTCCACCCTGGGCCCTTGAGCAAGACCCTTAACCCACACCATCTGCTCCCCCTGGCGCCCTAGATAGCAGCTCTCTGCTCCACACAGAGGGCTGTGGTAGCTTGGTGGTCTGTGGTTGTGTCAGGAAGGATATCCTGTGTAAAAATAATCACCAAGTCTTTTTGTGAGTTAGTTCACTGTGGAGACCCCTGAAGAAGAGAGGAGCCGAAAGAAAATAAAAACTTTACAATTAGTACATAAACTTTTCTGCTCTTATTCTATCCAGACCTCCATGGCATCATGGCTGATGACTCTTCAGACAGAGGAGGCCTTACAGAACCAGATTAGTTCACCCAGCACTGTTCCTATTTCTTCATGAATCAATCCATTCCGCGTGATTAATGGAGAATATTCAAACCACCATCCTCTATTGAATCAGGTGTTACTTATGGAGGTAAACATTACGGGTGGGCGGACCGATCCAAATAAATCAACAATATCGATACCAACATGGTTATTGATATTAATCAATACCAGTATAATGATATCAATACTTTCGCTTCAGTTTCTCTCCTGTATGCACTACTGCGGTTTCATCAAAGATGAGAGCCGACAGTGTAAGAGCCGCTCCTGTAGGCAAGGCCCTCAGAGTGGATGCTGGGAATATTTCTTTGAATTCAAGGCTTTGGAGGTTGTTTTGTTATTTACACTATTTATTGTATTTTCACTAATTATTTTTGATTTGTAGTTATTTTTTCAAGCCCAGAAAATAAATTCACTTAAGAGGAGAAATGTAATTTTACTCCTTTATATCCTAAATATATTTTACAGTTTTATAACATTTGTTGCAGCGTGATATGTACAGTTTGTTCATTTAAGAAAAAATCCCGAAAAGGAGTGCAATGAAGGAATTATTTTTATTTAATTTTCATAGTTTCTGAACACAATTTCTGTGTCCTCTCTGCTCCACACAGAGGGCTGTGGCAGATCGATGGTCTGTGGTTGCGTCAGGACGGGCATCCGGCGTAAAAATACCTGCCAAGTCTTCGTGCAACTTAGTTCGCTGTGGCGACTCCTAATGCAGGGAGCAGCCGAAAGAAGAAGAAGAAAAAAAAAGTTTCTGAAAACGTTTTAATTTATTCTTGACTGATCATTTTGTGCACTTTGTTTAAGGAAAAAAATCCAGCCATCACAAGGTATGGAGAAAGTTGTTTTGTACTGTTGTGTTTTGTACTGGTGTTGTTGGTTTTTTTTGAATGTCCAGAGGACCAGATTTAACTTTTTTAGATTTTTCTACCTGGATTATTGAGCATGCATCAGGATATTGTTTTGTTACTGTTCTATTTTTTTCAGAATTTAAAAAAAAATTCTAATAAAGTATTTTTTATTTACTTATAAACTTTGCCTAATTATATCCTGGGTCTTAACTAATATATGATCCAAAGGAAAAATCACAAAAACACTTAAGTCATCAAAATTCACCATAATTATTTAAAAGTATCGTATCTGTATCAGTATTGGGGAGTGGTGGCGCAGAGGTTAGAGAAGGTGGGCCTGTGATCGGAATATCGCTGGTTCAAGCCCTGGTACCGACAACATCAAAAAATGTGGGTGGGGTAGGTGAAGCACCCACACCTGCCCCCACCCTCATTCGGCCCACTCTGGGCCCTTGAGATAACATAGATAGCAGCTCTTTGCTCCACTCAGAGGGCTGTGGTAGCTCGGTTGCCTGTGGTTGCATGAGGAAGGGCATCCAGCATAAAAAATAATTGTCAAGTCTTCATGCAACTTAGTTCGCTGTGGCGACCCCTAACGCAGGGAGCAGCCGAAAGAAGAAGAAGAAGAAAAGAAAAAGAAAAAAAAAAAGAGAAAAGTATCGGTGATAATGGACCTGTATTTATTTGGTACTGATCAATACCAAATTTTGCAGTATCGCACACCACTAATAAACTTAGTAACAACCTGTTAAAATACCACCAGAATGCAGGAAATGGCATCTACTTTATTCAAAATTTTCTGGGGGAGGACCCCCAGAGCCCCCACCAGTGTGTCCCCCACATTGCAAATGTTTCTAATTCAATTCAATTTCAATTCAGTTTATTTATATAGTGCCACATCACAACAAAGTTGTCTCAGGGCACTTTACAGAAACATTCACATACATAAAAGCCAATTAGTAAAGTTCTCTATCTAAGGAATCCAGCAGACCAGTTGAATCTTGGCTTCATTGCAGTCTCCCATCCTGAGCAAGCACAGTGACAACAGTGGAAAGGAAAAACTCCCTTTTAAAAGGAAGAAACCTCCAGCAGAACCAAGCTCAGGACAAGCGGCCATCTGCTTTGACCGGCTGGTTGAGAGGACAGGAAGGAGAGACAGACGAACATAGAATGGTAGGTCCAGGTGTATCTGAAAGACAAAAAAACACGTTAAGGACAGAAAAAATAATTACAAATACAAAACCGGTTGAGCAGAGTAAGTAAAGACAGTAGCAGAGTGAAAAAATGTGGTCAGTTTGTTCTCCAGCAGTCTAAGGTTGTTTTCACACCTGATAGTCAGGTAGACTCGGTTCGGTTCGGGACCAATATTCATGACATTTTGTTTACATTTGAGCTGGTGCGTTTGCATTCACACTGCACTGTGCAGTCGAGCCAACCTGTTGAACCAACCTGTTCCCCAGCTTGCCTATGGGGGCGCTGCACCAAGAACTACTGAAAGAAACAACACAAAAACCTCTGAAGACACTTCTTCTGGAAATAAAAACAAAAACAGAGTGGCATCAAGTTTTAGCAGCTTTAGGAGTTATTCAAAAAGCGTTCAATACAAAAACAACTGGACTTTATTTGTAACAGAAGACGTTTTGCTCCTCATCCGAGGAGCTTTCTCAATTCGAAGAGCAGAGAGTGAGAGATACAGGTTATAAGGCTGAGTGAGATAAGACCCACACACACATATGTAGATTGGCAATTCACACCTAAACAAACATTAACAGTAACAGTGTGAAAACCGGCTGGGAATCTGTTTTAAAGTTGCATTATAGGTTTTTGAAAGTGGAAATCTGAGGCCTCCTCCTCTGTTAAGAGACGGCTTTTCTCTTTTTACATAAATTGCCTCCTTCACCCCCCTCTCAAACCATCTGTGTTCTCGGGCCAAAATGTGCACATATTGGTCCTCAAAAGTGTGTCCCTTATCTGTGAGGTGGAGGTGAACTGCTGAGTCTTGTCCTGTGGAGCTGGCTCTCCTGTGATGAGCCATGCATATGTGAAGAGGCTGTTTAGTTTCTCCAATGTAGAGGTCTGGACAGTCCTCGGTCCAGTGCAGCGAGGACTGTCCAGACCTCTACATTGGTCTTATCTCACTCAGCCTTACAGAGATTGGAAGTTTCTGACCCCATTGCTTCTACTATTAAAGTAATTTGTTTTATTACTCTAAGGAAATGTGTGTTCAGAGATACGTTCCTGCTGCTACTTTTGATTTTTATTGTTTAAACATGAATAAATGTGTAAAACTAAACTAAACCGTAACTGTCTCTGTTTCTTAATTTCATCTTGATCACATTTTTTTTTATTTTTTGTCTCCAAGCTGGAAAAGTCCCCAGAACTCTGGTCACCTTACCCAGTAGGCCAACAAAAACAGTCAGACTTTTTAATGGTTAATCTGAATCAAGATGGACACCACAGCTACTTTAGCAAATACAAACATGGCTACAGTGCATTCTTTTAAACTCAAACTTAATTTTATGCTCAATTTTGGCATGATAGTATGAGATTTAGCTCCAACACCTAGTTTGGTAACAGGTTGCACTAGATCTTTGCTTAAACTTTGGCATGCAAAGAGGCAGACATTATAGATTCTTTCAAGCAATGCTGGGGTTTTCATTTAAAAAGCATTCAAACTACCATGGTTGTGTCTTTTGGAGTCTTACCCAGGCCTGGCTCTACAGGCTCCATCAGGGTCAGGCCTGGCTCTACAGGCTTCATCAGGGTCAGGTCTGGCTCTACAGGCTTCATCGGGGTCAGGTCTGGCTCTAGAGGCTCCACAGGGGTTAGAGCTGGCTCTAAAGGCTTTCTAAAGACTGACAAAGACAAATTAAGAAATTTAAATGATAAAATCTCTTCATGCCAATAAACAAAACAATTACACACAGTAATAGCACAACAATCAGAATTTAGTTCAAATAGTTGTCCATGTTTAATTGTATTGTTTTAATTTTCTCAACATAAACCACAAATCTAAAATGAACTTACTCGTGTCTGAGCCTAGTTCAATCAGTGGCTTCTCCTTTTCCTCCTCCCGAGAGGGAGGCTGGATATCCGGCTGCACTGTGGGTGTAGTTATGGGTTTCTTAGCGGGTTTGGGTGCCTTTGGCTTTTTTGTTGGTTTTGGTTTCTTGGTGGGTTTTGGCAGTTTGGGCTTCTTCGTAGGCTTTGGTGCTTTCTGCTTTTTTGCTTTGGCCTCTTTCTCAGCTGCCTTCTTTGCCCTGGCTTTGGAAAAATGTAAAAAAGACATAATGAAAACCAGTGAAATAGAAGTGTAGCTTTTTACACATATTTATTAAAGTGCTTGAAGTGCTGACATCTTCAAATTTCTTTCTGCTCTCTTTATCCAATTTGTTTGTACCTCAACCATAAAATTTTATAAATAAAACAAGTTAAAGCTGAATTCCAGACAGAAATGTGTGTAACACATGAATCTGGATGAGTCTGTTGGACCAGAGTGCTACTTTAAAGAACAGTGACCACAAAATGACAATTAAAGGAGTTTTGTTTTACATGTCTGTGGCCGGTTGTATCATAGTTCCTCCCAAGCTTAATATTGAGAGAAATTACATGTGGTCGAGTTTAATTGGTCCTAGATCAGGATTTGACTGTTTTTTTTGTGGCAGTATGAAAGATAGTTGTTCAGTTTAGACAGAATTGTAGACAAAATCATGATAATAGGATGAACAAAAATCACAAACATGAATAATGTCAGTTTTCTGTGCGTGGTAAATATAAACAAGTACATGAGTGTGAAACTGTACACTTGCCAAAACAAGGGATATTTTAACCCTCCTGCTGCCTTTGGTTCAAAATGACTCGAGTCCTTCAGTTCTAACACTGAGGCTGCAGGGCTCATTTTGATGCAAAGATAGCTGGAGGGTTAAATATTATTATATCAATACTTTCATCTTTCTTTCAAATATTTCTAAAATTAAATATTTGATTTGTATATTTGTTATCTTGCGGGGAGTGGTGGCACAGAGGTTAGAGAAGGTGGGCCTGTGATCGGAAGATCGCCAGTTCAAGCCCCGGTACCGACAACATCAAAAATGTGGGTGGGGTAGGTGAAGCACCCACACCTGCCCCCACCCTCATTCGTCCCACTCTGGGCCCTTGAGCAAGGCCCTTAACCTTCACCATCTGCTCCTCTGGGTGTCCTAGATAGCAGCTCTCTGCTCCACACAGAGGGCTGTGTTAGCTCGGTGTCTGTGATTGCGTCAGGAAGAACATCAGGCGTAAAAATATCTGCCAAGTCTTCGTGCGAATTAGCTCTCTGTGGCGACCCCTAACACAGGGAGCATCCAAAAGAAGAAGGAAAAAAAATGTATATTTGTTATCTTAAATAATAAAAACAGTATTCAGAAATTAAAATTTTCTTTAAAATTACTGGATTTTCAGACGTTTAAAGGGGTGGTCTGGTGATTTTTGAATTGATGTTCTAATAGAGCACTCATCTCATTGCAAATTGATGCATTTGCAGCCTCAGCACTATTGGCGTGTACAATCTGTTTCAGTAGGTTTATATTCATGTCAATTGCACAGTAACGTGGACGTTGTTTGGTTGAGAAAACAGAAAAGACCAAAACAACTAAAACTGGAAATCAAGTGGACAAAAATGACATTCTATACTGAGTTCACATAACAGAAATGCCACCAGCCATGGAAATAACCTCAGAGCCACTGAACTCACGCTGTGCTGAGCTGATATTTGGTTCCACCCACTTTAGAGCCTCATGATATACTGATTATAAAGTTTAAGTACTAAACAGGAGGTTGTGGCACAGGGAATATTACAGAGAATAGCTCTTCAAAGTGTTCTCAGTTTTTCATCTAGATTCATTACAACTGTCATTAGACTTTTATGTGGGCACAGAGGGCTGCTTGTCTTCCTGATACTGTACAAACTCTCAGACACCAAATGTATGAGTACAAAGTAGATGATTTTCATTATTTTATAGAGATGTTTAGTATTTAAATGGTAAATGGACTGTACTTATATAGATTAAATGAAAGAGCTTTATAACATTCATACACCGATGGGACACACATCAGAGGCAATGAGGGGTTCAGTGTCTGTTGCCCAGGGACACTTCAGCATGTGACTGCTGGTGAATTCGAACCCCCAACACTTGCATTGGAGGACGACTGCTCTAACCATTCAGCCACAGCCGCCCCTAATTAATCCTTAATAATCTTTGATAACATGATTTTAATAGGTTCAGGCATTGTTTAAAGAAAATTAATGTACAGTTTCCATTTTTAAATACCCTATATTACAAAAAACAGCATGTAAAATGGTTATATGTTCATATTGATGGGCAAGTTGTTTAATATAAGCTACACATCTAAGCTTAAGCACATATTGTTCTGTTTTGTCAGACACACATGCTAAAAGGTTATCAAGTGCAAAAGAACATCACAAACATCGTACACCAGCTATTAAGCAAGGTGGTGGTAGAGTGATGATTTGGGTTTGCTGTCAAAGAGACAACAATTAACTCCTCTGTGTGTTAAAATATATAGAATCAATTGAGAGGCCATCTCCTCCTTGATCACCACCTTATCAAGGTGGAGGAGTTTGTGTGCTTGAATGACCACAGTGATCATTCAAGACCCTACCAGGGGCAATTATAATTGTCCCTGGTAGGGTCTACAATGCAGATTGGTCCTAGGTGACAGGCCATACAAAGAGCAATTCCAAAGACTCAAATGGACCAAAAACAACAAGGAGCACAGTGTCTCTTGCCCGGATGTGGGTTATCTGATCCCTAACCTGGAGCCAGGCCTGAGAGAGGGGCTCACCAGCGAACAGCTTGTGACCAGGTCTCTAGCCATGGGGCCCGGTCAGGCTCAGCCTGAACGAGCAACATTGGTTTTCCTTCTTTTGGGCCCACCACCTGCAGGAGAGGCCATACGAGTTGGGTGCATGACACTATGGACAGTGACCGAACGTGGGGGCCTTGGCGTTATGACATTGGCTTACCAAAACTAGCTTTTTGGACATGGAATGTCACTTCTCTGGCAGAGAAGGAGCCTGAATTTGTACGAGGTTGAGCGGTACTGAATAGATATAGTTGGGCTCACTTCTATGCACATCATGGGCTTCAGAACCAATCTCCTTGAGAGAGGCTGCATCTTTTTCTGTTTTGGAGTTGCCCATGGCGAGAGGCACTAAGCTGGTGTGGATCTACACTTAGCCCCACAACTTGGTGCCTGTGTGTTGGAGTTTTCACCAGAAGATGGGGGGAGGGGGTAGCTTCCTTGTGCAACAATGTGGGTGGATGGGCTCTGTTGGTTGTTTGTGCCTATGCACCAAATGGTAGTTCAGAGTGTTCAACCTTTTTGGAATCCTTAGCAAGGTGCTGGAAGGTACTCCAGCTGGAGGCCCCTTTATTCTGATGGAGGACTTCAATGCCCACATGGGGAATGGCAGTGTGACCTGGAGAAATGTGATTGGGAGGAACAGCCTCTCTGATCTGAATCAGAGCTGTGTTCTGTTGTTGGACTTCTGTGCTAGTCATAGTTTGTCCATCACTAACACCAGGTTAGAACATAAGTGCACTTGGCACCAGGATGCCCTAGGTCGTAGATCGATGATTGACTTTGTAGTCATGTCATCTGATTTGCAGCCATTTGTTTTGGACACTCGGGTGGAGAAAGGAGCTGATCTGTCAACTGATCACCACCTGGTAGTGAGTTGGACCAGATGATTTGTCAGAAACTCCAGAAGACTCAGGTGGAGGCTTCAACAATCACCTGGATCAAAGACTACCTGACAAACAGACCACAGTTTGTGAGACTGAATGGTTGTGTGTCTAACCATGTGGTCAGTAGCTCACGAGCACCACAGGGGACTGTAATCTCACCATTCCTTTTCACTCGGTACACCTCAGATGCCCAGTATAAAACAGACTCCTGTCATCTGCAGAAATATTCTGACGACTCTGCAGTGGTCGGGTGTATCAGAGATGGACAAGAAGCTGAGTACAGGGAACTCGTGGACCGCTTCGTGGCATGGTGTGGAAACAATCATCTCATCTTGAACGTGAACAAAACAAAGGAGATGATTGTAGATTTCAGGAGAAATAGGAACAGGTCCAACCCTATTTCCATCATGGGAGAAGAAGTGGAGGTGGTGGAGAAGTATAAATACCTTGGAGTTCACCTGGACAACAGACTGGACTGGAAATCAACAGTGAAGCCATCTACAAGAAGGGACAGAGCAGACTGTACTTCTTGAGGAAGCTGAAGTCCTTCAACGTTTGCAGCAAGATGCTGCATATCGTCTATAAATCTGCTGTAGAGAGCGCTATCTCTTCTGCCATCATTTGCTGGGGTAGCAGCACCAGAGCAAGTGACTTAAAAAAAGATCAACAAGCTCATAAAGAAGGCTGGCTCAGTTCTGGGGACTCCTCTAGAACCTTTGGAGATGATTGTACAAAGAAGGATTCTTCATAAAACGAAGAACATTATAGACCACCCTCAGCACCCTCTTCATCAGACTGTCATACAACAACAAAGTGTCTTCAGTCAGAGGCTTCTTCAAATCCGTTGTAGGACAAACCACTACAAGAGATCCTTCCTGCCCACAGCCATCAGCATCTATAACAACTCTTTAATGAAACCAGGATGATGAATTACAACATTTAATTTCCCTCTGGGATTAATAAAGTATTTTTGAATTTGAATTGAATTGAATTGAATGATGGGGAAGATGCCAGACAGACCCTGTAGACCCAAATGTGTAGTGAGGGTTTGCTGGATACGCCTGGCAGACGAACCCTTCAGAAAGATCTTCAACTCACATCCACATCTCAGATGAGGCGAGGGACACTGAGTCCGAGTGGGCCATGTTCCTCACCTCAACTGTTGATGTGGCTGCCTTGAGCTGTGGCCACAAGGTTGTCAGTGTTTCTCACAGTGGCCATCCTCAAACTTGGTGGTGGATACCCTGGGTTAGGGAGGCAGTCAGGCTGAAGAAGGAGTCCTATCGGGCCTTGATGGCTGGTGGGACTCTGGAGGCAACCACTGGAGGACCAAGTGGGCTGTAGCCATGACTGTTGCTGAGGAAAAAGTTTGGATTTGGAAAGAATTTGGTGAGGTCTTGGTCACTAATGATATTCTCATGGCCTCAGACAATGGACTTGTGTATATGCTGGTCCTGTTAGACCTCAGTGCTGCATTTGATACGGTTGATCACAATATTTTACTACAGAGGTTTG